ACCAATTAGACCTACTTCTTTAGTCTGCTACCACCAGTATGAAGAGGGGGAAAAAAAAAAGCATAATGGGTTTATAATTTGCCACCGAATCCCATAGCAACTGTACGTCACTTCAGATGTAAATTACAGACAATTCCTTCCAATGCCGTTTGAAAACTATAGAGCTGAATCTATAATTTGAGCAGATCCAAGCAGTGGAAGGGCTGAGAGAAGGAGAGAGAGAAAAAAGCTCCCCTAAATAATTGAAAGGAAACTGCCACGGGCCAAAACACTCCTCGAGCACAGCGTTCGGTGCCTCTTTGTCCCCCTTCCCTCGGAACGGGAGGTGCCACGTTCAGGTCGGAGAACACTGAGCAGGAGTTGGGCAGTTCAGGGCGTTCTGCAGATCCTGTCCCATTTTTGCTGATGAGGAGGAGACGTACGTGTGTGCCATGAGCTTCCTCTCTCCAGCCTCCTCTGATTCATTCGGTCGTGTCACCGACTCACGCTCCCGATGTCGTAAGAGCCTCAATTTTGACGGGCTACGGCATCGGTGAATTAATAGGACAGGAAAAAACAGGTTACAGGGGGAGGAGGAATGATGCAAAAAAGCTTCAAAGATAATTCAATGAATTTTGATTCGAAAGCCGGATTGTTCCTTCTCCTCCTGACACCTGCAAGCAGCTTTCAATTCCCAAGTCAGCATGAATACGCATTACCCTAAAGACCCTGTAATGACAGCACAGCCTTCATTTTGTGTTTCGTGCTTTGAACACAGCAAGATGAAGGCATCTCCACCAACTGCTCCAAAAGGCAGGGTTGAGAAGTTCTTTCAACAAGCAGCGACTGCAAGGGGTCAGGTTAACCCCAATCTGCACGGAATTGCTTCTCTCGCCGTCGGTTTCGGAGCAGCGCGGGGAAGGTGACTTGGGAAGCCACATCTATCAGACCACGGCTCCAAAACTCAGCTCAGCTAGCTCAGCAACGGGGACAACGTGCTTTGGTTATCTCAGCTCAGTCCCCAATAAATATTTGTGCATCTGCCAAAGTTCACCAGTGAATCAACCAGTGGCCTCAGTTCAAAACACTGCGGGGTAGCAGGGGCAGAGAGGAACAACAGGAGCAGGAGGTGCTGCTCAGCTGCATCACACACGGACCCAAGGGATGCCACAACCTACTTTACATCCTCCTAAAACCACCATGCAAGCCAGGACCAGGGCTGGGAGCTGAGGTGAGCCTGGCCTCCATCACTAGGTCAACACATCAGCTCCAGATAATAGGGAAAGGTGGTGGAATTGTGTCACTTCGCTCGTTATCAAATGACCACCCCTCACACAAGCTCCAGCCGCAAAGAGAGGTTTTAAATAACTACGTGAAAGTTGGGAAATTCCCAGGTTAAGGGTTCCAGGAACAGCCCTAACACTGTTTGCCTGCTGTCAGCACCTTCAGCACAAGAGAGACAGACCCACTGCCAAGGGGCGCGCGGGGCTGCCATGTGGCATTTTCAACCGAGCATGAGGAACGGGACTTACCCAGAAACCCCTCGTGATGCTGCTAAAAACCAGGTGTGAACATCAAAGGATGAATGCTACGGATGGAGATGTATCTAAGGCTCTCAGGTGGGGATGGAGAAAATACCATCAACGATGGGGTTCAGGATAAGGAATGAAAGAAGAAAAAAAGGAAGGGCGTAAGGAGTTCCCTTGTACCTCGACACGGGCAGCAAGAAAGCTGGAGACAAACCAGGAGAGATGGGAAAAAGTCACAGAATCATCTAACCCCAGAGCAGTTTGGGTTGGAAGGACCTTAAAGCCCACCTTGTTCCACCCCCTGCCATGAGCAGGGACACCTTCCCCTACCCCAGGTTGCTCCAAGCCCCGTCCAACCCGGCCTTGGCCATGTCCTGCTTTTTTTGGGAAGGCCTAAACACATACACACCTCCACAGGGAAGGCAGCAAACTGAAGGCTGGTCTAGAATTACACTGCTGGGAGAACCCAGAGCTGTTTTAGGTGAACACACCGGACCAGTTCTGTTTCACCAGTGGACAAACCGACCTGGGACACCCTTGCCACCGCTCGGCCCTGGGAGCTCAGCCGCCAGAGCTCGCGGTTTCACAACTCTGGGAAGGCAGTTTCAGGGACAGCAAAGTTTCACAAGGGGCAGCTGGGTGACATCTCACGCTGGCCCCTGTGAAGTCAGTGTTAACTCTTTTTTTTAAGACTTCCATTTCTTTCAGCTGAGCTGCTGGAGAACGAAACTCTTTTGGGAATTGGGGAAAAGCCAGAGCTCCTGTGGAGCTCCTCAGCAGCAGCTCCACATCCTCTGGACTACAGGAACAGCTGGAACACAAGAGTTGGGCACCAACAGCGTGGAATCACAGAATGGTTTGGGTTGGGAGGGACCTCAAAGCTCATCCCATTCCACCCCCTTCCACGGGCAGGGACACCTTCCGCTAGACCAGGCTGCTCCAAGCCCCATCCAACACGTGGACCCACGACCGTTTTCCTCCCCAGGACACAGAGAACTCCAGCAGAGACCCAAGAAGACAAATATCTGCTTCTCCACAGCCCTGCTGCCTGATCCACACATGGCGCAGCTCCACACCAAGCCTGCAACTGCTCTGGCACAAGGGACACTCCAAACAAATGGCAGCTCGCCCGGCTGGGTGATCATTTTTGGATTATGTAATCCCAATACATTATTATTAGACCAAGAACAAACTCAGGCAAGGAACTGAAGACGTTTCCCTGCCCGTTCTGGCAGAGGGACAGAGTCTTGTCGCAGGAATCGCACGGACGTGCTACCCCGGCGCCTGAAACAGGTCAGACTGCACATGTTGGACTCCAGGTAACACAAACAGCAGGATTGGATTCCAGGCCATTATCCCATATTACACAACGCTGCCGTCAGTTCCACCACGTTTCAGACCAAACCGAGCAGAAGGAGCCTGAGCGAATTTTTTCCATTTAACTGCTGAGGCCCTAAATTAAAAGCGGAGCTTGGGCTGGACAAACACACACTGCAAAGGTGTGTTGGAGGCGGTTCCTGGCATGGCCGTGGCCGGGCGCTTCCGAGGAAGCCGAGACCTTCAACAGGCTGGAGAAACTGTTTATAGAACCCATGCAGAATGAGCATATGTGTTTAATAGCCCACTAATTGTTGCGTTATTCACTACACAAACAAGCAGCTCTTCTGCCCTTATCCCTTCCTGCCCAGTTAATCACCAGGAGCCTCTGAGTATTTCTCTTTTGGGTGGCGGTGAAGGAAGCAAAGTTCATTAGTGGCCGTTGGCCACCAAACAATCCAGAGCCCGGGCTTCATTTAGAAAATAAACACCACTATTCATGTGTGACACGGACTCGGAATAGCTTCCCAAAATATTTAATGCAGCTGCCTGCAGCCTTCCTACTCTCCCTCCCCCAAAAGAGAAGGCTTTCCTGATATATAGGCAAGAATTATATGGATCATTCATTCCATTTTCAGAGGAAAAAAGAAAGCCAATAATTCAGTCTACCCAAGTCACTTATTGCTACTGACTTCTCATAATGCTGATAAACACTCATTAAAATATAAGTTGATAAACCCTGGTACAGTCATTACCTTCGTCCTCATACAGAGATTGCCCAATTCAGTGATGTGATGTAACCAACACCCTAAATTAAAAATAGTGTTGTGACAACATATGGTTTATCCTACAGAAGCTGGCAGGCAGGGACGCTCCTAATGACAAACGGGTTTAGGCTCCCAGCTTCCCCCAGCAAGGTGAGGAGACAGAAATGCTCGTCGCAGGATCAGAGGCGGAAAGAAATAGAAATAAAATAAAATAAAATGACACCGAAAAACGACAGTTTTGACCCCCCTCCGGTCCATCCCAACGCCTGCCGCTGCCGCCGAGCACTGCCATCGTTCTTTATTTACATGACTAATAAGCTCTCTGGATGCATTTCAAGGAAATCGCTCGGAAAAGACAATCTGGAAATTTCAAAATACAGCCCCAGCCTGAACGTGCCTCCCTCCCCCCCTGCCCCACCGGGGAAGGGGAGCACAGGGCTGGGGTGGGGGGGGGCACAACCGGGTGCCCTGGGGAAGGAGCAGCAAAGGGAGGGACCCCCCATCCAGTCCGGGATGGCAGCACCGGGGGTGGGCCCCCCTTTTTCCCCCCCCCTTCCCGGTCCTGGAAACCCACGTCACGTTCACCGGGGGAACGGGGAAGGAGGGGGGGGGACATCGACGTCCCTCCACCCCCCCCTCCCCAGACACTCGGGGGCACTGACGGCAGTTCCCGTCACCTCCCGGGGGGGACACCGAGCGCCCACCCCCGCACCGACACCGCGGGGCGTGGGGCCCCGGGGGGGGGCACATTGGGGTCCTCCTTTCGCCCACGGGGGGGGGCACATTGGGGTCTCCCCTTTAAGGACTAGAGGGACATATTGGGGACCCCCCTTTACCCACCGCGGGGGGGTGAAATTGGGGTCCCACCTTTACCCACCGGCGGGGCACGTTGGGGTCCTCCTTTCACCCACGGGGAGGGGCACATTGGGGTCCCCCCTTTACCCATCGCGGGGGGCACATTGGGGTCTCCCCAGGAGATACCGGGAGGTGTGGGGGGGGCACACACCCCGACCCCTCCCGGTGCCCCTCAGGCACTTACCGGAGGATTACGACCCCTCCTCCCCGGTTACCCACTGCGGGGCCCACAGGGACCCCCTAGACGCCCATGGAGGGACACACACACGACCCCGGGGGGCATTCCGAGCCCCCTCCGGTCTCCCCCAACCCCCTGGCAGCGGGATCGCCCCCACCCCCTCTCGCCTTCCCCGGTCACTCACCGGGGAGAGAGGTGTTGAGGCAGGAGCTCCCGCACCCCCTCACCGTCTCCCACCACACACCCACCTCCCCCCGCACCCCCGCGGGGGGCTCCCCTCCGGGGGCCTCGTGGCGACCGCCCGCCCTCTCCCTCTCCCTCTCCCTCCCCTCCGCGGGGCCGTGCCCGCCGCCCCCCCTCGACCCACCCCCGTACCTTACAAGCCTGGTAGCTCTCGAAGGCGCGCAGGGCGCTCTCCGTGAGCTTGACGTGGAAGACGGAGACGCGGGTGCCGCGGCCGAGGCGGCCGCAGGACAGCCCGTACCCGCGCTCCGCCTGCAGCGCCGCCATCTTGGGACCGTCTCCCCCTCCGCGCCTGGGCCGCCGGGGCCGCCCGCCGCCGGCCACGCCCCCCCTTATGAATTATTCATGAGGCGCCCGCGCCGCCGGTCCCGCCCCTCGCGGGGCTCCTGTTGCTGGGGCGAGGCGGCGGGCAGCGCGCCCGCCCATTGGCTGGAGGGGAGGAAGGCGCGGCGTCGGATTGGGCGGTGCGGGAGGGGGAGGCGGGGATATGCAAATGAGCGGGCGCGGGGCATGCTGGGGAGGGTGGTCTGGCGCGCCGGGGCGGCGCGGGGAGGGGGAACCCCCGGCGTGGGACCCCCCGAGCGGGGACCCCCCCCTAGGAACACCCTGCGGGTTCCGAGCTCCCCCTGAGCAGGATTTGGGGTCCCACACCACCCCCAGACCCTGCCAGTAGGCTCCATGTGACCCCCACCCGAGGAGGACCAGTGGTCCCCTGGTTTCCCACCCCCCTGTCCCCAGCAGGACCCCCAGGCAGAGAGCTCTGTGCTCTCCTAGGCCTCTCCAGGGCCAGGCATCCCCAGCCATGGGAGGTGGGAGCTGCTCCCTCCCACCTTACATTTGTGTGGGGGCCACTAAAATTTTCCCCCCAAATTAAACAGAGTCACGAGTGTGTTGCAAGAGGGGGGACAGCATTGATTAATGTCCCCCTCACCTTGGCTGTCAATAAAGAGGCCTGGATGTGAAGGAATTGTCCTTTATTTGGGAAGTTCACAGTCAGTTTGGGGTGGGAGGACAGTGCTACAAACCCCCCCTGCGAGCAGAGCTGAGGCAGCAGCAGGGCAGGGAGGGACCCCCAAGAGCTTGGACCCACAGGAGACAGCCCAGACAGGGGCTCTCCGACGCTCCCCTCCTGCCATCCCTCCCGCCGCGGGTTTCTTTGGCTTCCTTTGGACATTGCACGCTCTGGGGATGTGCCGGGGAGGGGAGCGGGAGCCTCTGGGAGGGCTGAGCCCCCCAGGACACGGGGAATGTCGCTGCACCTGCCCTTGGGCGCATCCACGTGGCTTCCCTTCCCTTCCCTTCCCACCGCTGGCCCAGCTTCCTTCCACGTGCCTCCCCAGGCGAGGGGGGCAGGACCCCCAGGATGGGGATGGCCACGACGTACCGGTGAGTGGGAGCTCCCGCTCCCCCCGACACGCTCAGGGCCGGGGGCTGAGCCCCCGATTGCCGGGAAGGTGCCTGGGGGTCTCCGCTCTGCCCATGGCTCCATCCCTGCAGCCAGGGAATGTCGGGAGGAGAGCCGGCACCTCCGGCAGAGAAAGCATCCGTGTTCCTGCAGCTGCCAGTCCGCGGGAAGGGGTGGGGGAGCCCCTCGGCAGAGAGACAGAGAGAGAGAGAGAGAGAGGCACGGCCCAGCGCTGGTCCCGTGCCCAGGGGCCGCCCCGGCGCCGCCCTCAGTTCCTCGCCGCGATGACCACGGACAAGGCCACGCCGCCCAGCGCGATGGCCGTCGCGCCGAAGAGCCACTTCCAGGGGATGGACTGCGGGAGGAGGGAGCCAGGGAGGTGAGGGGGCCGTGCCCGTGGCACGGGGGAGGGACGGTGCCACCTTGCCTGCCCACCCCTGGCTCCCGGCACCATCCCACACGGGGCGTCCCAAAAAGGCGAGCGCTGCGCCGGCACGTGGCCGGAGCGCCCGCGGGGACAGCGTGTGCTGCCGCCTGCCCAGCTGACAGCTCGGGCTCCCGAGCGCAGCAGCTGGGAGCAAAGTCCAGACCCTCCAGCTGGCACCGCCGGGATCCGGCGGACGGAGCCAGCACAGCCTGTTATCAGTGTTTTCCTGGCACGGCTCCCGGGGCACGGCCCCCCGTTCCCAGCGGGATCGCTGCCCGGACACAGCCCACCCACGTGGGGTCACACCTGCAGCCCGGGAGCAGCACTGTGTCACCCCCCACCCCGGGGGTGCCTGGGGGGCAATGACACATCCCCGTGGATCCCCAATCCCCCCCTGGGATCCCAGCACCAGCCCTTACCCAGGGCAGCTTGTCTTTGCACTTCCTGGGGGTGCCGGAGGCGCTGGGATTCCCGAGCATCTTCCTGTACATCTCGGTCTCCACGTTCCTCTGGTCCGCGTGTTTCTTCACCAGCTTGGAGAGCTCAGCGTGGATGGTCTGGGGAGGAGAGCGAGGTGTTACCAGCCCTGCACTGTCCCTGCCTGTGGTGTCACCAAACAGCAGGTCACACCAGCCCTGGGACGGGCAGGGACTTCGTGGAAGAGCTGAGAAGCAGCTGAGGGGGTGATGGCCTCATCCTGCCCCACTTCCCAGCGCCAAGGGGCTGCACCAGGCTGGAATGGGACACCCAGGCTGGCATGGGACACTCTGTGGGTCCGAGTGCACCTCTGTCCTTTTTGGCCACTCAAGCCAGGCAGCAGGGAGCAGAGCCCAGGGCTGATGCCAGACATCAGGGAATGGATGTTTATCCTTTAATCGAGACAGGAAAGTGTCTGCCTTGCAGACTGACGTGTCTGGAAGCAGGCTGGGAAAGTGGGCTTAAACTCAGCCAGGTCTCAAGTGGGATTGCAGCAAGACCCAGAGCCAGTCTGTACCTGCCCAGCTGGGGCAGGAGAAAGCTCCGGGTCCTGTGCAGGGCTCCCAAAAAAGCAGCAGGAAGTGCCAGGGAGCCGAGCACGGCAGGGTGGCAGGAAGGACGTTGCGGTGGCACAGCCGTGCTGTGCCCTCTGCTGGGGGTTCCCCAGGCCGTGCCACGCTGGGAAATGCTGCCTCCAACGAGAGAATTCGGGTGTCTGCAGGACGGGAAGCTCCTGCTCGGAGCTCCCCAGGGCTGGCACATCAGTGTAGGACAAACACCAGCATCCCACCCCGCTCCCCAGAGCGCGTGTTTTCCAAGGGGCCGGGAGAAGGGATGCCTGTGACACCTGGAAGGCGTGACACCCTCAGAGAACCTGTTCCTTCACAGGAGGCAGGTGGAGCCCAGCATTTCTGGAGTGTTTTCAGCACCGGTAGCCGTGGCCTGTGAGTCACCAGGGCTGTGACTGGAGAGGCCCCACCACTTCCCCGGAGCCCTGGCAGCAGCCGGAGAGCCCAGTAATTTGCCGTACTTGTGGTTTCACCGGTAACGTCACTGCCGGGCATTTGGATTTTCCAGCCCTCTCCAATTAAAAGCTCCATCGGAACAGGCTGGGGAGCAGCTGCCCTGCCCGGTGACGTGCTGGAGACGTACAGGGAACGGCTCCTGGTGCTGGTCCCTCACCACCCTGGCCTCGCTGGGAAGTGGAGGGTTTGGGATCCTGCTCACCCTTCTTTAGGTGCTCTCAGGTCACACCCGTGGGTGCTGCTTGTGCCCCATCCAATCCCTGACCTTCAGGCACTGGGTCACGACACAAATCCTGAGGGTTTGGTGAAACTCCCAGAAAAGACATGGACACAACAATGGACCCGAGCCCACCTGGAGAGCCAAGCCCCCCTTGCTCCACTCCAAAGCAGGCAGCACCCTAACCCTGTCTCTCCCCAGGCTCGCTCCTGCTAGGAGCCACTTCCTGGCACTGGTTTTTTGATTCCTCCCAAGCCTCTGGTCCTGCAGCTGATCATTAACCGACAGGAAATTCCTGACCCAGAGCTCGCCCTGCCCGGGCGCTGGACCGAGGTCTGGCTGCTCCCACCACCCAGTGAATCACACCCGGGGCTGCTGAGCGGGTTTGTGGGGACTCGGCTCTGCCCCACTTCCCTCAGCAGCGGCACGAGCTGCCAGAGCCACCCGGGAAAGCTGGAGCAGCCAGGACCATCCCCTGCGGATGGCTGGAGCAGGGATGGGTTGGCAGGGAGTCCTGCCAGTGCCAGGAGCAAAGGTCAGTGAGAGAATCTTGCAACACGGAGATAAAGGACCCGCCAGCCCAGCCACGCTTGGATGTTGCATTTCATAGGGCATTGTCCCCCAGACTCTAGGGCTGTTCCCAGCCTTCCTTCATGGAGCTGGGAACAGCCATGGGGGGCTTCAGCTTTCCATGGGAGACACCGAGGTTTGCAGGGACACAGACAAGAGAAGAGCACCCCGCAGACCCCCCAGCTCAGTGGGATTATGGGCAGCACACACCTGCAGCCTACCTTGTTTGAAGGCTCCAGCTTCAAGGCCGCCTTCAAGATGGGGATGGCCTCCCTGTATTCACCCTGCTGAGCCAGGACCTGGGGGGCGACACAGGGGTTGAGCAGCATGGATGAGGTCTGTCCCCTGGCTGAGATCTGTCCCTTGTCCCCTGGTTGAGATCTATCCCTCTGTCCCCTGGCTGAGGTCTGTCCCTCTGTTCCCTGGTTGAGATGTGTCCCTCTGTCCCCTGGCTGAGGTCTGTCCCTTGATCTCCTGTCGTGCCACAGAGAAGGGACCCCACCCTCACCTTTCCCTTCCGGAACAGAGCCTTGATGTTCTCCGGCTGGTGCTCCAGCACGAGGTTACAGGACTTGAGGGCCGCCTTGTAATGGTCCAACTTCAGCTGCGAGGCCGCCAGGTTGTTGAGACATTTCACCTTCACGTCCAGCAGCTCGGCCTCCTCATCCGGGCTGAAATCCACTGCCGAGAGCCCGGGGCCAGCTTAGGGCATGACAGGAGCCCGGGGGGTCCCTCTCTGGGGTTTTGAGGGGGGGAAACAGGTACCTTTGGAGTTGGAGCCGATGATCCTGAGGGCGATGTCGTAGGAGTTGATGGCCAGCACGTAATCCGCCTGCTGGTAGAAGTAGTTGCCCCGCTCCCGTTTGCGGTTGGCCAGCTGGACCTTCTCCTTCCCACTGAGCAGCTCCAGGTCCGGCGCGTCCCGAGCCGCCAGCAGCTCCACCTCCAGCGTGAGGGACGCGTTGGGTGGGATGTCAGGGCTCCTGCACGGGGGACAGGCACAAAGCCACGGGCCCACCGTCACCTCTGGCAGCCCCACCGGACGCTGGGCCGAAATCAGAGCCAGGGAGGCTTCCCGGGGGCAGGGAATGATGCACATCTTTCCTCCCAGGCAGGACGTGGCAAGTGAGCCGGGTGTCCCTGAGGTTTGCCAGCTGGGCTGTCACCAG